GAATAACCACTGGTTTGGGTCTGGGTTTGGGGTCTTCATTTTCACCTGAAGGTTGCATGGAATCCTGTCTGTGTTTCCTGTCTGCTTTCAGGAAAGCCCAGTCAGGATAACCACACTGCTCCAATCTATAGCTAGACTGAACAATTTAGAACATTTAGATTTCACTGCAGATCTTTGCCTCGATGGGTTAAAGACTGTCTTTCATCATTATTAACCTGATGGCAGGGGTGGAGTTGAGCTTTTTTGCAAGGGGTGGCCAAGGTGTTTTTTTTACAAATAAAAAAGCACTCTGGTTTTGAAAATTTTAGATGTCCACCACAGCTAATTCTAAATGGCTTTAATTCAACTGTTTTAAATAATATTAAGCTGAAGTTTTGTGTGGTCATAGCTAAGAATGATCCAAAAACCATGCTGTATGCAAGTCACAACTTATTATCCAGCCAATTTTAGACATGCAAAGCTGAAGATTAGTGTACAAGCAGCCGAAAACAATCTTTACCAAATTCTAAATGCTAATCAAAAATTCAAAATGGCTACAATGCTAATTTTACGAAGGGCTATTAAATCATTTTTAAACATACGCAGCTGAAATTTACATAGTGCAGTAGTATCAGAGAGCAATTGTTTACAAAACCTAAATGTAAATACAAAATCCAAGAATCCCATCCACTTGTCAAATATTTGGGGGCACCACCTGGGGGTGGTCAATCAGGTGTCACCCCACCTCTGGCTCCGACCCTGCCTAATGGAACTTCTTCTTTTTTCAGTAAAGTGATGAGACCATTAAAAACATAGCCTTTTCATGTTTTTTTTTTTTTTTTTTTTTTTTTTTTTTTGTTCTTTGCTTTTTTCCACTACTGGCATCTGTAATTTCATGGTTCTCTATTTTAGAGGTTGTTACAAATCTGTTTCTGGTGATTTGGCTGCAAGTGGTCAACTCTGATGCCTCTGTTCACACTTGGGGATAAATTGTGTAACTCAAAACATTTTAGAGATAAGAGATAAAGGCACATTTGCAATTATTAGTATAGGATTATTTATATTTATTAGAGTCCTGATTTATCTCCATTACATATGTATGTAAACGTCTGCAAGAAAAATGTATTTGTGTGTGTGTGTGTGTGTGTGTGTGTGTGTGTGTGTAATGAAATCTGTTTTTATTCAATTTGATCAAGATTAAGGAGCAGACGTCCTGCTTCGTAAATAAGACGTGTCCCTTATTTCGCCCCAAACTTCCCGATGAAGATCGCAGGAACTCTTTAACTTCTTTCTTCATCTTCCACCTCACAGAATAGCATCTGTGTTGCTAAAAAAAGACAAACAAAAGAAGCAATACTTTGGTCCAGATGCGGGGATGAAAGCTGATTTTTGTTAAAGGAGTGATAAGGAGGAAGCTCGTTCTCCATTAAGGTTTCAGCCGTAATTAAAAGAACAATTAATGCAAGCAGGCGGCGTAACACAGACCTTCAGCTAATAAAGCAGGAAGCATTTGATTTATATAAACAGGTTCAGCATTTTCCACACAGACTGTATTTGAATGAATGATTTTATTTATTCGGGACAGTGTGCAATTAAAACATAATTTGATGCATTGCACCAGATTTAGCCTAAGGCTAATTTACATTTGTAGTTTGTAGTCAAACAGTAAAAACAAAACAACAGCCAACAGTAAAATGGAAGTAAGAGAGGAAAAAAAACTGAAAAATAAAAATTATATAAAATAAAACATTTTACAATTTAAAAATACACAAAACACCCCACCCCGCTGTCCAAACACAAAATTATGCCCACCTCCACCCCACCCTCCAACCCACACAACCTGCAACTCTAAAATTGATTAGTGCATTTCAATGATTGCAACATTGGGTAGATTTAAGATATTTTTTACGATTATTTTTAAAACTAATAAAAKAACTACAAGTTTTTACACGATCAGGCGCAGCGTTCCACWGAGCGATGGYTTTAACCGAAAAAAGCTGCTTGTCCAAAGGCTGATCGYYGAGCAGGAACTTCACAGCTCTGCCTGGATGTTCTGGTTAAGYGCAAAGAAACAGCTGAACRGTWATAAACAAATTTTTGCAAACAGATCGGCGCTAAACCGTTTAAAWTTTTATATACTGTTTCCACATTTTGAGAAAACTCTAAAATTTCTCCTGCAGGGATTAAAGACGTTCTGATTTTTATTTAATGCTGCGGTGAAGCTTCTTACAACCCAAGTTACTGAAGTCAGACTAGATTCAAACACAGCCACAATTTAAGAAACAAAAAAAACTTGTATTTGAACCTTATAAATCCGGAAGTCGATAAAGCAACTGATCTAAACAGTACAGATAAATATAATAAAGCAAATAAGGAACAACACAGTGTGGGTGTTTGTAAATTTAACTAGTTTTTTTTTTCTTGTCCATTTTTGCTCTTATTCAGCTGCAACAGTTAAAACTCCTGGCAGTGTTCTCGCTCTCTCATGCTCTCCCAGGTTCCTCTCGGCTGTCCTGCACGAGTGAACTGTTTATGCAGTGGGGTTGCRGTCACTCCACTGGATGTGCAGCGGGCATCCGGCCAACCCGAAGCCCACAGAAACGGCCGGCTGCAGACCTCCCTGCGCTGTCAGCTGACTCCGTTTCCCAGGGTCCTCGGATCCCAAAGGCCATCTGAGTCAAACTCTACAAATACACAAGAAGGAGAAGCTGGAAAAATGTTTGGATTCTTGTCGGGTGGCCAAACACTCGCAGCAAAACATCAGCTAWAAGTGCAGTCGATTTGGTTTTAATCACTCAGCCTAAAGACTCTGCTGTAGGCAGATCTGTGACACTTYAAATAAATAGTTCAGGTTTCTAGTTTAAAGTGGGGTTCCGTGGAAAGGTTACGAACGATTCATTTTTTCTACCTGCTGCTGTTTGATTCATTGATTCCTTTCTATAAAATGTCTCAGTCCAGCCCACCCATGAGTTCGTATCATCATATATAACTTAAAATAAAAACTGGATTTTAAATCAGAACAAAAATGCACTGGAGAAACATACAGACGTCTGACGCCTCATGCTGCAAAAAAATTTCCCCCATTTTGCTTTGATGCGAGGGAGCTGAGGGAGACAGGGATAAATGTTCACCCACCAGCCTCAGTTTGAGCCAGAAGGAGTCACTCGAACAAGTTATTTGACAAAGTTCAAACACTTCACTTTCCTGTAGAGTTTTTAGGTTTTATAAAGAGCAAACTTCGGTCCTTGTGTAGAATGGGGTTCACACATAATTAGACACATTAACATATTTGACCGTAACCATTATCAATTATATCTTTTAGTTATGATTTTGTTTTTTGTCACTTTTAAGTCAGTCAAAATATTTAACTTCCCTTAAAGAAATACAGTGACATTGCTTCAGTTTCTTATACTTCTTATAGGTTTTTGCTTACCTTTAGCTACTTTTAGCATTTAATTCTGTTTTTTTTTTTTCATCTAACCACCATTTTGCTTTTATCAGGTTTTATCATCCCTTTCACTATTGTTAGTCGACGTTTGTGTACTTTTGGCTTCTAGCTAGCCATTTTAGCTTTTAGCTGCCATGATGTTCTTTACTGCTTTTAGCTATTTAGCTTTTAGGATTTGGCTGCTTCTAGATTGTGATTATCTGCTATTAACTCAAAGTCTTTTGCTACATTTAGTCATTCATTTACTACTTTTAGCTTCTAGTTAGCTGTTTTCTAATTTTAGCTTTAATTTTTTTTATTAACGTCTAGCCAGCGTTTTACTATTATCGAGTTTTATCTTCCCTTTTACTATTTTTAGTTAGCCTTTGTGTACTTTTGCTTAGTCGATGTAGCTTTTAGCTGTCATGTTGTTCTTTACTGCTTTCAGCCAGCGTTTAGCTACTTTTAGGTTTTAGCTGCTTCTAGCTTGTGGTTAGGTACTTTAAAGTCTTGCTACATTCAGCATTTAGCCATCCTTTATTAGCTTTTAGCTACTGTTATGCTAGTTTTAGCTAGTGTATGGTTGCATTTAGCCTTTTTGCTATTTTCAGCCTCTTAGCTTGTGTTTTGCTTCTTCTCAAAGACGTGATTTTCAGCAGATTTCAGCAGCACTCGCGTTTCATTTTCACAGAAAAAGCCTTTTTTTTGGTTGCAAATGTTTTCAGCTCACAAAAYGTTTGATGTAAAATTGCTTGTGTATCGTGTTACTGTGAGAAAACCCTTATGTTTTTCTTTTTAGTGCTCCTATAGAGTGAAACCTGCAGTGTTTTTATTTTTACCCACATTGGCTCCAAAATATCCGTCCTTTTACTCCCACAAGTACCTGCCCAACCATTTTTTTTCCTTTAATGAAGTCTTCCTTCTTTATCCCTTTCTGTCCTTTCTCCTGCTGAAGAAGCCACCCTCACACTGAGGCCCTCTGTAGCAAAAGGGGGCCACATTCATGAGGCTGGGAGACAGTGAAGAAAAACACAAAGAGCTCCCCACACTGTGGAGAGGGGCTGTGAGCTCAGCGCTGACGCCTGAAGGATGTGTGTGGGCTGCACCCAGACACATTGCAACCCCCCAAATCTGACTCCCAACACAGAGGGCTCCTCCCTCCCTGTTCTGAACTTGACCTTCTGCTAAAGTCCCAAAACAACCTCAAAACAGACTTGTAAGCTGTTAAAACTGAAACTTGTTGAGAGAAGTTAGTACTGCCTGACACAAAAACCTTTGAGTTTCTCACATTAAAAAAAGATGACATGAAATTTACAGCTCCTCTATGAGCAAAAAGAAAAAAAAAGCATAGAAGCTCAGGCAATATATTGACTTTATGTTTTTTGTTAGGGTTAATAGGCCTGTCTAGACAGTTCAGACTTCGTGTTTTCTCTTGGCTTTCCCATTCTCTTTGTTAGAAACTGTGACCCTCCTGCTCTTAAATCAATCTGATAACAGTAGATTTTCCTTCGTGCCAATGAATGTACAGTAAGCTTGAAGAAGAGGTTTTATTTTGCTGTAAATCTGAGTCCCTCTTGTCTTTCTTGGCTCCCAGTGCTGGATCAGCTCATGATGGAGCTCCACCGCTTCCTGCTCATCCTGGACAAGGAGAACCTGAGCGGGAACGCCACCATCCAGAAGGGCCTGCTGTCGGACCTCCTCCAGTCCTACAAGTCGTCGAGCGGTAAGCGAACTCGAAGAAGAAGGCAGAACTGAGTGACTTGTTTATTTTTTGAGAATTACGACCTAAATCAACCTAAAGTTTGAAACAAAAATGTGTCAGGGATGACCTGTAAAATTATAGCCCTTTATGTTTTTTCACTGTGCAGCCATCTTGATTCGACTTTAATCCAAAATGTAATCRCGATGTATTTTGCAAATTAGCACAGACAAAAATATTTACTTCTAAATTAAAATCTAAAGAACGCGCTTAGAGCTTTCTATTTCAGTAAACTTTGTTGTTGACGTTCAAACACCGCCCCCCTTTAAACCTGGAGCAGCTTTCTCTTCCTCTAGCGTAATTTTCCTCGCACAGCTCTCAATCGTTGAAGGGTTTTAACGTGTAGGATTTGATCTAACCTGCTTTCACTTCAAAAACATGCTAAATATTCCCTCAAAATATCAATCAGAATCAGTTCCTGAAAAAGTCTAAATTGGGACGTGGGGTCAGGAGTTTCAGATTGGTGTTTAACGGAGGTGGGTAGGAACTAGTTGCAAACTGTATACTTAAGGAATTTTTGGGGGGGAAWGATACTTTTAGTTTTACTACACCATATATTTTACTTTACTTGAGTAATACTATGAAGTATCACTACTCTAAATTTAGTAATTTATTGGACAACTAAGTTTTACTTGAGTAAAAATATGTTGAAGTAATGCTACTTCTACCTGAGTACAACTGTTGGATACTCTAATCACCTCTGGTGTTTACTTCTGTATCTAACTGAACTTCTAGTTTTGTGTTTAAAACATTCTGATAATGTTTCTGATTGGAATTATTAAGACCTATTATTTCTATTAATTCTATTAATTCTTACCATAAAAATACATCTGGAATATGTGAACACCTTTTGGAGTCAACCCAATTCAAGATGGCCGCCACCTCCTATTGAACTTAGTAAACACAAAAAATGGCTAAATAAATCCACCCATGTGTGCTACATACAGTATTACATTCAGCAATGTCTCTATTAGCAAAGTATCTTGTGAACCAGTGGACATAAAATCAAAAGCAATGAGCTTTTCAGATTTTCATCGGTTAAAGTTTCGTCAGGATGCACGTTTCAAACATTAGTGACGGCACAAACAGAAAATGTCACTAAATATCCTCTCATGCGCTCATGGTGCTGTGGTTATTCACGGTTCCATTCCTCTAAGGTCAACCAGATACATTAAAAAGTCTTTGTCTTCCTGTGAAACGCAGCCTTTGCTCTCATGAAGGAGCTCTACTCTTTGACCTAAAAGAAGCCACCGAGCCACCGTCTGTGGTTTCATTTCCCAGCTTTCGACTCTCACGGACCGCCATGTTGGAAATCTGCTACTCTGAGCTTCTTTTTATTTTTATTTTTTTATGTTAGAGTGCGTTAGAGCTCAGAGTTCATGTTGAGGATAACTCTCAGTTATCTTAATCAAGAAATTTTGCAGAGTTGTAACGTAACTAAGTACAAATACTTTGTTAATGTACTTAAGTAGAATTTTGGGTATCTGTTCTTTACTTGAGTAATTATTTTTCAGCCTACTTTTCACTTCTACTTCTTACATTTTCACACAATTACCTGTACTTTCTAATCCTTACATTTAAAAAAAAAAGGCAAGAAGTAGAAAGTCGTTACTTTTATTTCGTTTTTGCTTGTTTTCATCCCAGCTTGTTATTGTAAAAAAATACTATCCGTGTAAATTGTGCCTCCTAGACAAAGTGAATTTAATTGTGGTTTAATGAGAAGTATAAATATATAAAATTTTGTTACCGTACTTTGTACACAAACAAATCATGTCACACTCCAGCAGGACATAATCATTAAAATAAAAGGACTGTACTTAAGAAGTATTTGTATTTCATGAATTATATTATTATATTTGGCCACAGCCCTTGGATAGATTATTATTTTGGAGAAAAGGTTTGAGCAGCCTTGATATACTGTTTATAAACTGAAACAGCTAGACTAGTGCATCCTAAATTTAACATAAATTAATTATTTTAATACAACAGTCATTTCTGCAAATTTTGGGGAGGTCACCTCCTAATAAATGTCCTCACAGAAAATCTACCTGCTCCTTTTAAATTAATAGTTTTACTTTTAATACTTAAGTACAAAAAATATCAGATACTTTAAGACTTTTACTCAAGTAATATTCCTAAAGGAGACTTTAACTTTTACTTAAGTAATTTTTTGGTAAGATGTTTGCACTTTTACTCAAGCATCACTTTGTGGTACTTTATACAACACTGATATTTTGCTAACACAGAGCCAGGCAAAAGTGGCACCTCTCCTTCAGCAGCAAGATGCAACTGTTCTAATCTGTTTGGTTTTAATTCTTTTACAACTTCTGACTCCTTTGGACTGCAAAGGTCCACCCCTCTGTCTTTCTCAGAGAACTGTCCACAAACACACGCAGAGCAAGTCCTGATTTTCCATGTTCAGCTCTCGGACTCGTCCCTGGCTCCGGGCTGTATCATTTTTCCAAAGCGACATTTATCCCCCGGAGGGGACGCTCACTTCCTTTGCAAAGCGGTTTATAAATAGCCTTTTCAACTCTGTTCCCTTAAAGTCTGTTTTCCCTGTTCAGGCGAAACATGGCGATGTTCCTCCGCCGCTCGGTTTCACCTCGCTGGATCAGTTTCAAAGGAGGAAACGCTCCTCGAAGAGTTTCTSCTGAGGCTGGGGTTCTGTTTGATTTCCTCTCAGGGTCTGATCTTAGTCAGCTGAAATATTAAATTCAAACAGAGATTCCTCTGAGCTGAACTGGGACAAGTTCCCATGCAAAGTTCCAGTAACTAACCGGAGCCTGCTGTTCTGTGACTTCAGGCTTTGTTGTTGTGTTTGTGGAAATGTTGCAGTTCCTTCATACTGTCTATCATTATTGTTAGCAAAAACACCTCACCATTGTCAATATTCTGTATTTAAGTATTAACTTTTAGTCATCTTAAAGAAATAGTTCAGATTTTTTTGAATTAAAGTTCACTGGAAAGGTTATAAACCAGAGGTGCCCAAAGTGGGGCCCGCGGGCCAAATTTGGCCCGCCAAGCCATTTGATTTGGCCCACTAGAAGTTGTCCTGGTTCCTAGATTGTAATCTCCTGTCTTATGTAGAAATACTATATTTACACTTAGTCTTTTCAACCATTGGTCCAACTATAGGTACAAGGAGCTGCAGTCAGATAGTCCTAACTCATGGTGGTACTTTATCCTTAAAATATTTGAAGATTAAACTTAAAATACAAGTAACTTCAAGAGACATTTATATTAGATTTAAGTCCATACCTAGATTTCCACACCTTATAAGACCACATATACTCAAATTTTAAATTATGAAAAGTCCCATGAGCCTTTGCTGCTGAGCAAAGGCTGAATTTTCTCCATGTCCATGGGCTGAAAAAACATACAAAAAATGTGGGCAACGGCACTGGCTGCTAGCATAATCATAAAAAATACAACTTTACTTGAAGTATTTGCATTTCGTGTATTTTATTATTGCATTTGGCCCACCACCCTCAGATTGATTTTAATCTTGGCCCTTTCAGGGAAAATGTTTGGGCACCCCGTTATAAACAATTAAAATCTTACCTGCTGAAATTAACTATCCCGTTAAACGTCTTGTTTTTGCTGCATTACTCCATTTAATTTTGCTTGAATTAATAAAAATCTATTCAATAATCATTTTGTCTTCTCCTAAATCAGTAGAACAGGCTGGCATTTTTAAATTTTCAATCCATTTTTAAAYGTCTTTGAGTCCAAATTATTGAGAAAAAGATCCATACTTGGGGTTAAGCCAACATTAAACAAGTTTAATGTCAAGTTCAAGCTTAGCTTTCTGTTTGTCGATTAAAATTCAGTTTTTATTCAAATATAAACGAACAAATCAACATTTCTCTYATTAAGATGAGAAAAATTAAAATACAGCAAACACGTTATGTTTGTCTATTTTAGTCCATCCGGGTCATATTTAAGTTTTTTTTTAACTCAGTATAAAAGTAAAAGGCAGATTTATTTTTAGATTTTTAATTATGTATGAAAATATTCAAGCTCTATCCAACTTTTCATTCCTGTTGGCCTAAATGGACATGAATCCAAGTGTTTGTTGTTTGAGAGGGACGTGTATTTCCAGTCTTTGAGGTAGGAGTGGCCCAGGCTTCTGCGTGCCGATGAGGAGGGCTCTGATTAATGTTTGATGAATGTTTGCGGCGGTGAGAGTGGGTGTCGAAACAGATCCTAGCCTTCTGCACAATAGCCTGCTTGTTTGATAAAACTCCGTTTTAATCCTGGACTTTTCATGGACATCCTTAATAGTTTTTTTTTTTTTTTTTTTTTTTTTTTTTTTGGCACTGTGGTGACGTCAGAGAATCTTCGAAGGAGTTCAAAGATTGAGATGTTTCAACTCTAAAAAGTTTGGATTAACTCATCTAAAATGGTTTTTATTGCATGAATGCACAATATTGTGTATATAATAAATAAATAATAATATAATAAATAATAAAATCAATGAAGATTTTTGCTTAAAAAGTAACCTTTTTGTTTTTAACAATCAAGCATTTCATTAAAAATAAATGAATATCACCCACCACCTTTTATACAACTTAAAAGATGATCATCATACGTTGAGAAATGAAGTTGCAGCTGTTTTAATCAAGCCTTGAAACTAATGCTGTGCACAGTCTCACGCTCAAAGCATGAGTTGTGACTAAATCTCAGCTACTACCACATCAAATTTGAGCTCAATTTTTGTAGAAGTGACCGAGTTGTAGCCATTTTTGTGTCCTCTAAGATCAGTCAGCTGTAGCAGCCATCTTGAATCAGGTTGGCTCCAAAAGTGGAWGAGTTAGAGAAGAACATCCATTGAATATTTCCTGAAAGTTTTATCGTAATTCATCCAGCGGTTGTGGAAATATTTTGCTAACAGACACTTAGACAACAATTTTTAAGCATCAGTTGCATTTAAAACTAACTTAGGGTTAAGCTTATTAGGAGATTTGCTTGCTTTGATTATAGCAGCTCAAATGTTAAAAGTCTTTGTTGATTATTTTTTTATTTTTTAGTTTCATGAAGCATCAAATGTTTTCAATGTAAGGTCATTTTAGCAACTAAAGGCTTACTATAGAGCCATACCTTTGTAACATCTGTAAGATGTGCTTTCACATAAAAAAACATAATCTGGATGGTATAACATGCTGACAAGTTGAATGGTCCTTCTTATTTCAACAGAGGTGTTTAGAGAACTTATAAGGTTGTAAAAGTAGTTTGTAAAAAGGCTACTTGAGTACAAACTAATTATAACATCTACTTTAATATTTTAAAAGTATGTCATCAGACTGACAAAAACTAAAAAGTTGTGCAAATTGTGCTGTTTTTAAAGACTAGAATGAAGTGAATTAATACAAATAAATAACATCATTTCATCTCCAAACGTCTCAGCAGATAGAAAATAGTGTTAGAACAACAAAGCTTGTGTATAAACAAGAGGTCTCACTTCAACATAATCTGTAGGTGTGTCTCTCTGGTGCATTCCTAACAGGTTTGCTCTTCATTCAATGAAGTTACTGACAGTGTGTAGAGTATTCATCATTTTACTCAAGTAAGAGTTGCAACACTTCATAATCATACTGACGGGTCTCAAAGTAAAGCAGATTAGAGCTGCAGCAGACTGAAGACAAACTGGGTAGGAACCAATAATAAAAAGCACAAAGTGTCAGTGTCTGACCATCAGAACCACAGAAAACATTAAATGAGGCCTTGCTGCTGCAGTGGTTGGATGAGAGACTGATGAGAACTGAGTGGGCAGTCAGGGAGGTAAACCTACAGACAGGTGAGTGGAGGAGACGCTGCAACCACAACACACACATTCTCACACACAAACATGAGAGCAAAGGGTAACGAGGCTTTTCTGTAGACATTGTGATGTCTCGTTTATTTTTTTTCTTTAGATTGTACCTAATATTCATAAATCTAAGTTTCCTGCAGTGCTAATAACCCTGTTAAGACTTCAGTATCTCAAATTTGTAGATATTAACACACAGATGATGTTGAAAACTATAAACTCTCAAATATTAAGTACAGTCTTACATTTAAACCCTAATGTTTTATTTCTGAAACACATATTCTTGTCTAATCATCTTGCTGGTTTATTCAATTTGGACACCAATTATGCAAAATATGTTCCTGTCTTTAAATTCAAACTAAACTTGCTAAATGTCCTGATGCATCTCAGTAATCCGGGTAGAAAAATCTTAATAAAAGTTGAGTATAGGTCCACTGGACGTGTTGTTCTTATTGAAAAAAATATTTTGTTTTGCCTCCAAGAGACTTCTTCAGTCTGAGGAGTGTCAGGTAAACTCAGCCATTTAAGCATTACTTCCACATGATGAACAAACAAGTTGAATCATGATAATCCAACTGGTTGTTCACATGCAAAAGACGACCATCAGCCTAACAATCGTCAGGACCCTGTTTATCCTTATTTTTCAAAGGACCATCAGCCTAACAATTGTTACGACTCTGATTGTCTCTATTTTTCAGAGGACCATCAACCTAATAATCTTTACGACTCTGATTGTCTCTATTTGTCAGAGGACCATCAGCCTAACGATCGTTACGACTCTGATTGTCTCTATTTGTCAGAGGACCATCAGCCTAACGATTGTTACGACTCTGATTGTCTCTATTTTTCAGAGGACCATCAGCCTAATAATCGTTACGACTCTGTCTCTATTTTTCAGAGGACCATCAGCCTAACAATCGTTACGACTCTGATTATCCTTACTGCTCACAGGGGACCGAGTCATGCTAACAGCATTGTAAAAGGGGGACAATTRGACACAAAGATCTCCCCCCGTTTAATGACGAGGTCATTCTTAAACTCATTTGTCCACCCATGTCGAAACATTGCCTATAACTCCTCTCTTGGAGGAGAAACAAAACCTTTTTTTTTTCAAAAAGAAGAACTCGTCCAGATGATCTATTCATTTTTTTAGATAAACTTGCTAAATCTTTTAAATGCAACAATTTCTATATTGTGTTTATGCTTTACATAAGACTTTCAACAATTTGTGTATCCTTTTTTTTTTAGCTCATATTCTGCACAGAGTGTTAATAATTGTGTCCATTAGTCAGAATGCATTCTTCTGCTGCTGAGGACTCTTTGCAATTCAATCCCTAAATCTGAATTCAAAATAAAGTCCCATCTGAGTCTTAATCTGTCAAACTAACCATCTTACTGAGTCTTGTCAAAGTTTGTATATTGCATGGACCATCAGTGAAACTTTGGGGGAAATAAATAACAACTTACTGATGATGCTCAGACTGAAGTTTCCTGAGGATGTTGTGGCTGCTTAAATTGTTCTTGCAACACTTTTGGTTTTGATGTGAAAACAACCACGGCCTAAGGTTTGGGTTTATTTTTTCCCTACCCCATCGAACTGTTGACCACATCTTTCTTTCCCCTCGTTGTCTCACACAGGTGCTGATGAAGAATACATTTACATGAACAAAGTCCTTGTCAGTGGATCAAAGGACAGCGGCGACAAAGGTGAGTGATGACCTGAAAAGCATGGGATGATGACAYGAGATAAACTGCAAATAATTTCTATGAAAATGAGTCGATTGTGGCACAATACAACATATTTTGTGCTAAACTCAATTCAACACTCAAAACATTCAAGCAGCAGCTGAGAGATTCTGACTTTTTTCATATAGTACATCTCAAAAACCAGCATTAAATTGTTTAATTGTTGCTATTTTGTAAAACTGCTTCACTCTGTGCCATTATTTTCAAGTGAAAAAAAGACACACAACTATAAAGTATCGGTCAATGATCAGGAAATTTAGGGGGATTTCTAATTGCCATAATGAACCAAATGACGTTCTGAAGAAGAACCAGACATGGCAGGAGAGCATAACAATGTATGACAGACGTGTGAGGTTGAGCTGCAGACCTATAAGAACTGAGGACTGATTGATGAGAAGATTAGCTGCAGCTGTGACTGATGAAACTGGGAACAGGTGTAGCTGGGCATAGGGGAAACAAACTGAGGAAGAAATTGGTCAAAGCACAGCGAACAATAAAAAAACAAATGTTTTTCACCCCGTCTTTTAGCTGCTCCCTTCATCGGGTCGCCACAGGAAACTAACTCGCACCAAGATTTGACAAGAGTTATATGCCCTCTYTGACACGACCACTGACCACCAAGCTACCACAGCCTACATGTGGAGCAGGGGGCAAACATCTTGGGTGCATGTGGGGGTTAAGGGTCTTGTTAAAGGACCCAGAGTGGAGCAAATGTTGCTTCACCTTTCCTACCCACGCTTTTGATGTAAACGGTCAGGGGATTTGAAGTTGCCTTCTCTGACACTGTGCCACCAGCCACTCAATTAGAAAACAAAGGAAACAAATTGAAAAGTAACAAAAAACAACTTAAATTATCAGGACGGCATTTATGGTCACATTTATGCATCGGAAAAACAGTTTTTTGGGGGGTCTTTCCTGTTGTTACACTGAAAAAAAGCACTGTTGTCTTGCAAAGCCCCTTTACTCAAGGGTTTAGTGGAAAGTGCTATACCAACACGCATGTCTTTTAATTTAGTATGCTGGCTTTGCCAATTCAGATTATTTTTTTAAAAGAGGTCAAAAGTGACCTGATGAATCGGCAAACTGATCAATCCATTTTTTGTTTGAGAAAATAAAATTTTACACGAACATACACATGTATGTGGCAGTATTCTCCAGATATGCTTCTGCATGTTCAGGTTGACAGAAATCTGCAGACTTACTGTGTGTTGTTATACACCTCGAGCTTCATTTAGATTCAGATGAATAGCAGACAAGATAAAGCAAGCATACCCCCCCACCTCCTCTCCTCCCACACACCACTTCCTGTCTGTTTCTTCGAAGCTACTCTCCATCTGCGACCGACCCGTTTTGTTTGGACGGCGATGAAGAATGTGGTTTGAGTCAGCACCGGGCTTAACACTGTTTTTGTGTGTGTCCAGCAGCAGCGCTAGCAGAAAGCCTCAAGTTTGGTTTGTTTTCTTTTATTTCCTTCACAGAAACCGATGGAAAGTGGAGATGTAAGAGCGGCGGTTTCTCAATCGGTCGAGGCGCAACTTTTTAAGCTTAAATGTTGCGGTAAAATGTTGCTGATAAAGACACAGACAGATCGCCTGGCTGAGATAAATGCAGCGCTCTTTCTGTGGAAACGATGGGTTGAGTTTATTTGTTCAGAAAACGAGGCGTTCTTATCAGACCCCTCTGTGGGTCACAAGTTACCAAGACAAGGCGGGGTGAAAAACTGCAAACACCTAATAAAACATCTTCACTGAGCAAAACAAAATGTGCATTCTTACTTTGGGTCTAATTTGTGGGGGTGGGCTTTTAATTCCAGTAATTATTTGAATTATTAAAGTAAACCTTTGATGGCTTCAAAAGTTTGTTCAAAGGCACTGACTAAGTGAAGAAGACCAAGGAACTCAGTTTCAAGGAAAGTTAGTGTTATAAACCAATTTTCCAGGTTTTGAACATCACTCGAAAGCCTGTGCAAACTGTGTCCACCATTTTCAACTTAGGGTTATAAATACATTTTTAATGCGCTGTAATTAGCTGAAAGACTGGGCAATAAATCACTGGTGAATTGTCAAAGCTKCATAATAAACACCACAAGCAGTAGTTCTTTATCATATTTTTCCAGAAACCATTAAATTAGAATTAATTTCATTCACCATTTCAAAATAAATACTCTGCTTTAGCCACAAGCTCTTTTCATTGGATAGATATTCATAAAACTACAGGCAAATGTAAAGGTCTATCGGTAGAGTTGATTTTAAGCGGTCAGAAAATGAAAGTTAAAGAGATATACAAGACAGCAATTTATAAACCCCTGACGAGCAGACCCATCAATGCTAAAGAAGGTTTAGCTTCATAGATTAGCATTTAGCTGCCATCTTAAGCTCCCTTATACCAAGGAAACACTGACAATTTACTTTTGCAAACAGTGTTGTGTGCAGCGTGACTGTRGCATAAATAAAACAGAATAAAAGGTGCAAGGTAGCAAACTTGGAAACAGTATAAATGTGAGGATTTATGAATGTTTTTGTTTCCTGAACGAAGCAAAACTTCAAATAGTCAGAAACAGAATCTTGTTTCTGCAAACTGATTTACATTCGTTTGAAAAAGGTGGTACTTTTTATGTATTTTTTTTTTCCCCACACCATCACAGAGCAATTATGTTGAGCTGGCAGCCTGAAGCCATGTTGTCTCAGCAAAATGTGTCAAAAGTAAAATGTAAAACATGTAAAAAGGTCCCTCTAACACAGAACCAAACAAGCCAGTCTGACTGCAAATCTTTAAAAAAAAACATGTCAAAACGACTTTTTCAGCACGGTTTGGAGGTGGGCTTTCAAGWTGAATTGTTGAATAATTTATTTGTTTTTATTAAATATTGAGTCATTGATAATATATCACATTATTCAATACACTTTGAATTACGTGGTGAAAATTATTTGCTATAATCCCGAATGATGGATAAAAAGGAAGAACTAAAATGTTGGATTTAGTAAGACAATTTTTTTCAAGAAGCACTGAATTAATAATATGATTAAGATCTAGAATAAAACAGAAAAGCAGGACAAATAATTAACAAGAGGAATCAAACAAATTGTTTGCTAACCTGGCAGGACTCAATATAAACAATGCAGAATAAATTAAGAAGGGATAAAAGACAGGTGAGAAGCAGCTTTTGACAAAATTAAGTGTACAACAGAGACGGGGAAAAGACAACTTAACACAACAAGTACACTAAGGAGGGTTACTAAAGCAAGGTGGTTTACAAAACCAGGTGAACATCTGGAAATAAAGCTTGAGAAAAACAGACACCAGGTTTTTTTATACAAATATCTGTAATTACAGTAATYAATTTATACACACTATTTCATGATTCTGATACGCTCTGATCTCCAGTCTTTTTACTTCTGTGACCCAGACGAGCGATCTGACGCCCTGGTCAATGGAAAAGTGGCGAAAAATGTCCCAGTGCCACAGAAGAGCCTTCCTGACCTGCCGCCGCCCAGACCTGTAAGTTATTATCAAATCTTTCCCACCAAAACAGGCAAAATTTTCCACTTAATGGGAAATGGCTGCTGATGTAAAATCAAGTTATTTAAAAAAGGTTCAGTGAATTTATTTTCAGGTGACATGAACGAAATGACATTTTTTTCAATTTTATGTAACAGAAAGTTTAATTAAGATGAAGTTATATTAGCATAGAATGTACTGTATTTAACCATAATTAGGCTATTTTAGCAGGGAAACTATGTAAACAGACTGGAAAATGGAGTAAATTTGTTTTTAATTTATCTAAAACAATATCAGTCTGTGGTCATGCATCTTAAAGACATTTCCCATAACCTTAAAGTTCAAAAGCCTGTGGGGGACACATGAAATTCTCCCACAATAATAGGTAATAAACTTCTGATGGAGCATTAAAGTAGTAAAATGCAAGTGTGTGTGTGTGTGTGTGTGTGTGTGTGTGTGTGTGT